GGTTTATATTTGGTTCTGTCCTCCTGTCCTGTCCCTGTTCCCTGGGAGAAGAGCCCAACCCCACCTGGCTGCACCCTCCAATTCATGCTCATGTGGCCATATTTTTTAATTTCACACATTTTCAAAAAAAATTGTATTTCAATATAATTTTTTAAATTCTGTCTCCTTAGGTGTTTTAACATTTCAGAGTTGATGTCCTTTTTTCTCTGTTTACTGTGCCATGCATTTTCTCAGGAATGCATTTCAATGCTCTGAACCTGCTTTACCCAGATATTTAATAGTTCTTTTTAACACTTTTGGGTAACTCACATTTTTCTCAGTGTCCTCTGTGAGATTTATACCCTTAATAACTGCACCTTTTCACTTTCTCTGCATTCCTCTTTTTTTTTTTTATAAAAACCCTTTCTGATATTAAGAAAGGGTTAATAGAGAAATAAAGCATATATAGAGAAATAATAAGCTTAATAGATAAATAAAGCTTAATAGAGAAATAAAGCTTAAATAAAGCTAAAATAGAGAAATTTGAGGTAATTCATTAAACAGGTATGTTAAATGTATATATTGCAATAAATATGTAGAGGTCTGTAAATGGTCATTGACCAAGAGTATTTCTTCCTCACCTGGCCTCTTCATCTTTCCCTAATACACACCAACACAATCACACCTAAACAGTGTTTTCAAAAATAAAATTGAAGGGCTTGAACATGAAAATTCCCTGCTAATTTCTGCTAATTTTTTCCTTTTTTGTTCACAGCCTTGCATGGACCTCCTTCGCTTGCTGTATGGCTGCAGCTGTCACCACGATTAACAAATACACAAAAACTATCTTGGAATTCAAGCACAAAAGGAAAAAGCTGGAAAGGAGCTTTAGGATTCAGTACAAGTTTCCTGAGTACACAGCTCCAGAGAAGGTTTGCAATGTGTATGTGAACTCTTTCCAGAACACCACAGATGACCCCACACATGCATTGAGAAGTCTGCGTCACCTGGCCACTATTTCAGTCCTGTAAAGCTGAACCAGATCTCAGAGAATTCTGTAAATTATAATCCTAGATCCAAACAAAACAGTGTCATGAATAAAATGCATCAATGTGTAGTATTATTTATTTTTCTTAATAAAGAAATTATATTTCCGTGGATGTTTCAAGGAAGTCTTGGTATTGGAGAAGAAGGTTCAGGTGGCTCAGTTCAGATAAAAACAGTGAGACACGTTCCCCTCAGGTCTAGTTTTTAAGTTTTTAAGTAATAGAGAGTATTTGAGTTTGTTAGAATTTTAGAGCATCACTCCATTCTGATTCTTTATTAAAAAGACTGTAAAAAATCCCATCCTGAAACCAAAACCCATGAGAAGCAGGGCAGCAAATAAGGCATGTGGTGCATGGCTTGGATAATTTTTGGTGGTGAAAGGTTCAATCTCTCCAAGAAAACCTGTGGACCTCAGCTCATGGTTCAAGAGTTACACATGGTGGATTTGCTGTGACAGGAAGCTTGGTAGAGGAAACAGGTTTCAGTGTAAACATTTAGATAAAATGAGAAGGCAAAATAAAATCTGGAAGATTCATAAGGAGGCAAAATGAAATCTGAAAAATACCTGGTTGTGGACAGCACACAACTCACCTATGGAATTGCCCAGGAATCATTCTGGGAACAGAGTCAGAAAGAATCAAAATTTGATTTATACATTTCTACATAAAGAATCTATAATCACATTAAAGATGGGGAGGTGGAAATGATTGCAAACATCACAGGTCAGGAACTGAGCCACGTGCCTGCTTGGTAGGACACCAGAATATTCCTGTTATTGAGCCCCTTGGGAAACACACTTGTGAACTCTGGGTGGCACAGGTCCTACACAGCCTACTGAGCAGCTCTGGCTTTGGAAAAATCCCTATCTGCCTTTATTCAAGCAATAAATTCAGTTTGAGCTTCTTCTGCCAGCAGGATGTGTACCAGGTCAGGTTATGGCCAGTGATAAGCTGGAGCTGATAACAGAGAAGCATCATTAAATCAGAAGAAAACCATCAGTAGTAAGAGAGGAGAGGTTTTGTGTATGCACTGAATTACTGAAAAAAAAAAAAAATAGAGATTTCCTCATTGGCAACAGGTCCCAAAATTAAATTAAATCAGAAGAAAAAAAATTAAAATTAAATCAGAAGAAAACCATTAGTGGTAAGAGAGGAGAGGTTTTGTGTGTGTATTGAATATACTAAAAAAAAAAGAGATTTCCTCATTGGCAACAGGTCCCAAAGCTTCACTGCTGCAATTGTAGAAAAACAATTTCCTATATCAAATCAGAATGCCATGTGTTCCAGTTCATGTCCATTACCTTTTTTATTTCTACTGTGCATATTTGAGAAGAATCTGGCTCCATATTCCCTACACCATCCTCCAGGGTGGCTGCAGATAGCAATAAGTTTTCCTCTTCAATCTTTAGAAAAGTCTGTATTTATCCTTTGCAGTGCTCTGAAAGTGCCACCTTGAGTCCAGCAGGGGAACAGAGCAGTGGCCACAGTTGGTGCCCACTCTGTTAGAAGCAGTCTCAACCCCTTGACCAAAACACAAGATCTTGATTCCTCCCCTTGTTTCACTCATTTCTTTGTGATGGATATGTTCCTAACACCTTCACCAACAGAGGAATTATTTCTGATTCCATCTGGTTTTTGTCAACCCTAACTCTTTTTACAATAGACTTTTACCCATCTCATGCTGCTCCTGGGTGTGATGGAAGAATTTCCACCTCATCCATGAACAAACTTGGCTAATGCCTACAAGTCCTTGGATAAATCAAATTTATGCAAGTGCCTCATTTTTTTTTCTTAGCCTTCAGGTCACTAACACAGCCTGGCAGTCTCTCCATATGCTGCTTCTTCAGGATTGTTTCTTACACTGGTTTGCAAACACATAAAATGCTATAGGTGGGCAAGGGCTTTTAAAATAATTGTGCAGTAAGAATCCATCCAGATCCCAGTAAGAATCCATCCAGATCCATTCCTAAATCTCAAACTGTCTGTTTTTCTCATGCTAACCATTCCAGAAGCTGTATGTCTTCTGCTGGACATCTGGTAAATAAATTCACCTGATGAAATGCAAGATTTCTTATCCCTATTTGTGAGCCACAATTTTATATTCTGCCTATTATTTTAATTTTTGACACCCACTAAGTCCTGGAACCACATTATTTGAAAGCAGAGGAAGAGCACCAGCAGCATTTTTTATTGTGATTCATTAGATCCAATCAATTTTGATGAATGTGGCATCTCAGACACAGATCTACAGCAGTCCTGGTTACCACTGGAAACCATGAGAGAAATAGGCACCTCTGGGATGCAATTCCTGTTGTCCTGAACTCATCTTAGTATTTCTTTTTCTTATCATAATATCTTTATTTGCAACATATATCCACAGGTGAGACAGCAAAACAGAGATCAACAAATGAAATAGAAAACTTCAGATTAAATAATAGATTTCCCCAGAGAGGAAAAAAAAATATTGTGTCTGAAATACCAGTGGAGAAACCTCATCTTCAAGATGAGAAAAAGCCACTGAATTAGAGAAAAGTGTGACCCATTTAAAAGGTCATCTAATCCCTCTTTTCTTTTAGGCAGGATAAACTAAAGCTACATTGCTTTTTTACAGATGTTTCATTAATCTCTTCTTTAAAGCTTCTGAAGACAGGCATTTGAAAATTTCTGTGGCAATTTATCCTTTGTGCTTAGGATTTACAGAAAATGCTGTCCCTGTAAATCTCCTTGGCAGTAATTTTAGCACATTGTCCTACTCCAGCAGACATGGAGAACACTTCAGTCCTTCCTTCTCTGCAGAACATTTCAGGAATTTGAAAATCATTCAGATACAACTTTCTAGATAAAAATTCATCTGGTTTTTAAAACTTTCTTGACAGGATACTGGTGTTATTTTACCTCTTTCACTGCCTTCTGCTGTGGCTCCTTGAACTGCTCACAGTTTGGGAGTGAAATTGTGTGAAGAATTTATGCTGAGCTCTAGAACGTGCAAAATGGAGCAGAAGGATTATTCAGCTTATTTTAACATGTAATCCACTTGGTTTTACAAAAAAAAAAAAGAAGGACAATAAGAGAAATCATAGAAATCACAGAATGGTTTGGGTTGGAAGGGACCTCAATGAGCATCTGTCTCATTTCACCCATGGCAGGGACAACTTCCACTATCCCAGGTTACTCCAAGCCCCATCCAACCTGGACATGAACTCTTCCAGAGATGGGGCAGCCACAAAAAACGTTGGTTCATGGTTAGCTGGGATGTCCTGTGGTGCCTGATCCTTTTCTGATGAAATTATGCTTATTCTGCATCTTGCTGTTACGGAAATGAGGAGGACTTGGCTGTTGCTGAGGTACAGAAACAAAGAGAACTGAGATCACAGCAAATGCCCATTGGTTTGAAGGAGTAGAGCTCTGCTGAAAACCAAGAACATTTTGAACAAATGATTGTTTGACTTCCCAGTGAAGGCATAATCACTCACACTACAATAAACCCCAGTGCTACACCAGAAAGCAGATGGAGCTCCAGCAGGAGCTGCAGGAACTGCCCCCTCCATCCCAGAGGTGAACACCTCCCTGAGCCAGGTTTCTTGAAGCCAGAGCAATTCATTTAGAGCTACAGCCAAAGGTTCACGTCCCTGCAAGTGACAGATATTCCTTTGCCCTCAGAATTCCTGTCATGGTTGGTGATTGTATCATGAATGAGGTCTGTAAGTGCTGGAAGTTATGTGAGCAATGGGACTTGCAGCAGCAGCAGCAGCACATTGTCATAATCCCTAAAACCAATTTATAGATTATTTAAATTTAAATTTAGGAGCTAGTCCAGCTGACCTTTCAATGGTGTTCTGTTTCATCTGAAGTTCCTAAATTTATAGAAGACTGTGTGTGTCAATGATAGTGGAGTTATTCTACTCATAGCAAACAGACCAAGTCACTGACATTCGAAACAAAAACCTTTTTTTTTCAGGTCAAAAGCACAGAAATAACCAAACAAAATCAATTTTCCTCTTCTGTCTTCAGCCTTTCCCTAATCCCTGAGGCAACAATGGCAAAAAACAGCTCGGGGAAGAATGTTCTGATGTAAACTGCTGCTCTGGGGATGGGATTGGCCATTAGCACCTCCTGCTTCTTCCTGCTCACCGTGGCAAGGACCTCCTCTGCCACCTCCACGGGGTGCACACCGTAGGACACCTTCCTGAAAAAGACTGCAAATGAGAGAGGAGTGAGAGCTGCAGACACACAGACAGAGAGACAGGCAGGTACTCTGAGGGAATGGTGTTAGAAAGGTACACAGCTGGTGAATCAATCAAATCAGTTTAATTTCCATGCACCTTCAATCCCTTCCCCACTCCATTCTCCTCATCAGTATGTGGCCAAGATCTTTTCATAATTGAGGTAAAGTCCTTCCAGTCCCTAAGGGAAGGAGCAACCTGAGTGCAGAGGAATTGTCCCTTTTGTGTTGCCCTGATTTTTTTAAGATTTTTCTAAGCCTTCTTAAGTTTACATTCCTGTAAGGAACTTTCTCAGACACTTTATGTTAATAACTCATTGTTTTGCATTCTTTTATGGAGGAGGAGAAATTTGATGGGCTGTTGGTTTGTCCAGTGTCATTGGAGAGGTGGCACTGTCACCCTCCAATCCACTGTCACTTTTGGAAATCTATAAATGTTGGAGTCAGAAAATAAAAAGTCCCTTTTTTACCTTGGAAAGAGCAGCAAGTCTGTGTTGTGTTGTTTTGTGTCCTATAGTGACACTTCTGTGCTCTCCTCCCCCTCCATTCCTGATGCCCTGATATATTTATTTTCTCACACAACATTGTCTCATTCCAGGCTCCTTCTCTTTTCAACAGGCCAATATTACCTCTATACAGAGGAATATAGAGGTACTCTATATAGATATGGAATATATCTATATATAGATATAATTCTAGATCTATATATATATATAGAATATATCTGTACAAAGAGATATAAAATATCTCTTTCTTTTTGCTCCTCATGCCTGAATATAGAATATATTTATATATAAATACAGATTCTAGATCTATATGTAGATATAGAATATATCTACATAAAGAAATATGAAATATCTCTTTCCTTTTGCTCCTCATGCCTGTTCATCCTTTCTCTCATTTCCATCATTTTTCCTTTTTTTTTTAACCCTGGAAAAGCCTCCCTCCTGCTTTATGTGCCTCATCTTCATCCACCCAAACTTTACATTTCCAGATTGATGCCTCCCAGTTGCCTGGTGCTGGCTGGCGATGGTAGGAGCAGATGAAGGTTGGATTCACAGTGCTGACAGAAATATCAAATTCCTCCATTTCAGCTCGAAGACAATCAAAAAATCCTACAGCAGCATGCTTGGAAGCAGCATCTAAAAGTAAAAAGCACACATGTGCATGTTTAGATATATGCTTGCATGGAAGCAGGTGTATAATAAAGCACCAATGTTTGGGAAAATGAGCATAGAATGATGAACCAAAATGCATTTCTAAGGTAGCATTTTAACTATTTTCAATTGAGTTCCAATTGGAAAAAATTTCAGCCAAATACTGTAGTAATGGTAAATTTGGATGCAAATTAGCACTTTTAATAACCACTTTTAATAATCAGGGACTCCTCACAGCTTATGCATTAGAGTTTATGTTTTTGCAATGTATAACTTACAAGCTGCACGAAATGGAATTCCTATTTTCCCTTGGATGCTATTAATTAGAACAATTTGGCCAGTTCTTCTTGAGATCATATTGGGAAGGATGGCTGCAAAAAGAGAAATACAAGTAAGAGACACATGAGTAAAAGCTGATTTAATGAAAAGGAGCAACAGCTGAAGTGTAAATAGCACAAATCTAGTGAAGGTTGTCTCAATACTACAAGAAAAAGTATCCCAAAATCCAGTAGCTGGGAATTGTCTTCTAGACTTCACCTGAATTCTACATGCAGAGTTGGCTGCAGTATTAATTAACACACTTAATTGCCAATGTGCTTTAAGTGGTAACAGCAAAAAAAAGAAAAAAAATATATAATTAAATACCTTTGGTTAATGTTATAGGTCCAAAATAGTTGGCATCCATTATCTTTTTATCAAGCTCCAGGGAAATGCTCTGCACTGCTCCTTTCACCTTCATGCTTGCATTGTTGATCAGAATATCCACACAGCCATAGCAGTTCAGGATTTCCTTGGCTACATCTCTGATGCAGCTTATGTCTGTGATATCCAGAAGAATCAGCTTTGGGGCATATGTCTGGTGAGCAAAAGACTCATTTCAGTGGGACTTGTTAGATACAAACTATATTTATATTTGTATTTGTAGTTATAGTTATAGTTATAGTTATATAGTTATAGTTATATAGTTATAGTTATATAGTTAGTTATAGTTATAGTTATAGTTATAGTTATAGTTATAGTTACAGTTATTTCTATTTCTATTTCTTTATATTTATTTCTATTTCTATATCTTTGATGGATGAGCTACACACACATGGGGACAGAGGGAAGGTAGGAACTGTTTGTTTTGCTACAGGTCATACAAATGGAGTTTACTTTTGCATGGTTTCTGCAAAACCAGGTTTTATCATCTGGGGGACAGAGGAATGAACTTCAAGTTTTTTCCATTTACTGTATTAATTAGAGAATGTAATGCAGAACTTTTAGGCATACTTAATATTTCTCCCTAGTTGAATCTGTGCAGGCTAACATGAACACACGACTTTTGTGGTTATTTATGCAGATGAATGAAGCCCACTGCAAAAAAAAAGGGCAAATATTTGTAGGTCTGATGAGCAATGGCTGCAAAATTGATGTGATACCTTCAGGAACACCTGTGCCCTGGAATAGTTCAGCTGAATTAGTCACAGAAGGGAAGTTTGGCCAGGAGCCTCAAGAAACACCTGCCAAAGAGCTGGCGTCCTGCATCTCCTCTGTCAGTGGCCAAGAGGAAAAAGCAGTTTTCTTTACTTTTTTTACTCCAAATCCCTTCTACCTGGCACTTTATCCACAAACAGTGAAGAAGCTCAAAATGAATTTGATCTTTAGCCCTATCTCCCACTCCTCGAGCACACGAATGATATGAAAACCTGGTGGCATTTCCTGTCATTAAATGAAGCATTTGGATGCCTTCCATCCACATGATCAGGCAAATTGCTCTGCTGAGGATTTCGAGCTGGGTGGCTTGTTCAGAACACAGGAGCACCCAGATGCTTCACAGGAATAGCTCAGGAGAGCAGGATTTTGGCATCATCTCTCTCTGGGCGGTTGCTGTCATTACCTGGGCGACCAAAGCCATCATTAACAGCAAATCCCATTTCTTGTGCATTTTTTTTTTACTGCATCTAAAATTCCATTCTGTCCCTGAGCAAGGTTTATCCCAGGCTGTGCATACCTACCATGCTGGGGTCTGTCACACTAATTAAGGCATCATACAAGGCTTCCAACTTTTCCCATGTCCTGCCACACAGCACAAGCCTTGCTCCTCCTGCATGAAACACACGAGAACATTCTAGGAGAGAAACACATAAAAAAAAAATTAATTACAATAGTGGCGAATTGATTTTGTTTATTTTGCTTGAAATGGGATGCTGGTTTTGTTAAGGGTGGTGAATCCATGCTTTAAAATTCATTAATTTGAAAATAATAGGAGAAAAAAGAAAGCATTGGCTTGTGATAGTACATAGGTGAGGAATAAATTAAATTTAATGTAATGGGATAATGCCTGTGTTGAATGGGCAACAGAACAACCCCAGTGCTTGCTGTCCTCTAGGAAACATTTCCTCCAGATTTCAATACCCACTTGAAATCCAGTTATGCCAATCTACCCATTTTGGATTTCTTAAATGATCATGTTAGACTCTTAATATCTGTATGGAAGTATTTATGGATCCACCCTTGTAGTTTTGCAAACCTGTGCAGCTGGAAGTTTTTATTTAAGCAATCTTTTTCATTATTTACAACAGTAATTTTAAGAATGCCTTCCATTTTCTTTTCTTTTTTCTTTTTCTAGCATAGAAGGATTTTTAATTTAATGCCCAAAGGAGTATTTGCCAGAACAATTATAGCAATATTTTCCCCATAAACAACAGTTAAGGCAATCTTGTGAAAAAAATAAAGAGAAAAAGACTTCTATGTGAACAGCAATAAAGGTGGAAAGGGAAACCAATGATGTTCTCCTCTAGAACTTTTCTGAGTTTCAGCACTCCGAAAAAACAGGAACTAGGTTTCAACAACAATCACAAACCATTGAAAACATCCTCAATCATCATAGATTTGTTTCTCTTTTTTAACTTTGATGAATGTTGCCTTTAGTCCAGAAATTCTGGCTTGTAGGAAAAGAATTTGTCTGTTTCCTTAGAGCCCACACCCACAGCTGGCCCCTGCCCAAAGTCCCTTTTTGGCTCTCTTGGAGCCCCTTCAGGCACTGGAAGTGGCTCTAAGGTTTGCCTGAGCACCCCACTCTGCCAGCCTGGCATCTTTGTCACTTCCCCTGGACCAGGGGTGCTCTGTGGCTGAATCAGATCAGTTGTTTGAACAGGTAAATTATTGCACACCCTTGATGCCTTTAGTTTTAGCTTTTATGTTTTTCAGATCCATTAGTGTAGGACTCTGAAATCCATATAAAGTGTCACCTACTGCCTTCACATTTTGGTCAGACAGAAAAATCCCTCTGGGCCTGGGATCCAAGGACACCCTACAGCCTCAGGCCCCAAAAAGTACAAACAAAAGTGAATTGTGGGAGAGCAGACTGGGAGAATATGACTTCATTAGCTGAAGCTGTAATTGGACAATTAACCTCTGATATGCAATGGACCAAACTTAAATCTGTATAAAAAACTGGTGACCATCATCCATCCTGGGTGGAGGCTCTGCAAGGTTTCTGACTGCCCAAGGTGAATCTGTGGAAGGCCTTTAATAAATACTCACTTTATTCTCCTAACCTTGTCCAATATATATAATAAATATATAATATATACAATAATGTGACAGGTAGACAATATATAAAAAATATATTTATCTTTATTTATTTTATATATATATATATATATATATATATATATATATATATATATATATAAAATATACTATAAAATATACATATAATATATATAATAATATAGGTGGACAATATATATACTATATATATTTATTTATATATATATAATATATATAATGTACATATAGTATATATAATATTAAAAGAGGTGGCTCTATTGAGGCCTCCTAATAAATCCCTACTTTATTCTCTAACTCTGTCCAGCCTCTGTTCTAAGCAGCCACTTTTTCCTTGTCCTCTGAAGTCACACTGCACAGAGCCAGGCAGCCCATCTGGAAACACTGGAGGAGTAATTTGGGCAATATTTAAAATATATTTAGAGGGGGAAGAGATAAAAACAAGGGAAAATGGGTGAGCATTGCTGTCCACAAGAAGCAGGAACTGTTGAAGTCTCTAAGGGCTGAAAAGGAACATGTAAAGAGTAAGGTGACACCTGTTTATGCAGCCACCCTGCACTGACAGCCTGTGAAATGAGATCTTACAGTAGCAACGTGCTAAAAATAGCACTCAGTGTTCTTCTAAAACCTCTCACTCTAGTGAATTAAATAAATACAAAGCTCTGCAGCTCCTACTAGTTAACCAATATACTATTTATATATTATATATAATAATATAATATTGATAATAAATATAAATATAAATATAATGATATAATTGTTATATAGATTATGTCAACTATATTCATTATAAATATAAACATCTATGAAACATAAATATACATTAGACATATATAAACCTATTAAACCTGCATAGACATCTATTAAACACATATAAACATATATTAAACATATCACAAATAGAAAATATTTATTATAAATAAAATATAAATAAATATTTATATAAATAGAAATATTTTATAAATAGAAATATTTATGATTAACTTCTGCTTCATCCAGCCAGTTATGAATGCACCCAAGGCAATGTGTGCATGTTTATCACCCCGAGGGTGGCTCTCTGGCTGCTTCTGTTCTGTGCCACTGAGAAGAAATGAGACAACTCACCCTTGCCCAGCCCAGAGATGGCATCTGTGATCACCACCACCTTGTTCTGCACTGCTGACTTGGACAGCAGCCACCTGACTGACTGGTAAATGTAAATAATTCCACTGATCCCCAAGAGCAGCAATGGCAGAGCAAGGACAGAAAAGAAACCCATGGCTGTGGGAAACAAAAGAGCACTTGAGAGTACAGCAATCACAATGCACATTGATTATTTTTCAATTATTCCAATGTTTTCTGATATAGAAAATCTACTGATCAGCATGCCAAAGCAGCAACTTGAAACAGTAGGGAGGTGATTTTCCAATCAATGGTGTAATGTTGTTTTTTAATGAACAGGGGAATGTTGTTTCTTTGTCTGTTTTCCTTGTCTTTTTATGGTCTAAGCAAATCTGGTTTCCTTTTATGCAAAATTACTGTAGGATGGCAAGACCATAATAAAATACACACACATATATATGTGTGTATATATGTATGTATGCATGTATGTATAAATGCATGTGTATTCTATTATGCCTTGAAGCAAAACATGAAATAAACATTGAACTTTTAATCACATTGCTATTGTTAGAAAACAGTGAAAAAGTTTTTAATCCAAATTTGAGATAAAACTCACAACACAAGTCTTTTCTGTTCTAAAAGACAGAGAAAACAGAATCACTTACCATGGCTATGAAGACTCCAGATACACAAAGAGCATTCTATTGCATTTTTGAAAACTTTTTCATTACAGACTTAATTAAGATCCTTCAGAGTTTCACAGAGCACTGATTTGTTGAGGCTGCTTGCCCTGAGTGAGAGTGGCTATGTATGGCTGGTGACAGAGACACTCCAGAGTAAATTTAGCCTGCCCAGAGTGATCTGCATGCCTGACCTTCCCACCCCACCAGCCACAGAAAAGCTCCTGGTACAGAATCAATTCACCTGCACAATGCATGCTTTTCTAGCTGTTGTGAAAAATGTGTATTTTATAATAATATTATTTATATATCATATATATAAATAGATATCATTATTACATATAAAAATATATTTATATAATTATATATTATTATATCTAGAATATATATTATATATTCATATAAAATATATGTTATGATCTATAAAATTATATTATAGTTTATAATAATATATATTTTATAATTGGCAAAAATTAAAATTAATATTATATGTGTTATGGTTAGAAAGTGATGCTGTATTAATTTTCTTAAGAAGTGTGTTAAATATAGTTTTAGATTATAACATAATGTTAAAATAAAACATTTTAGGAAACCGAATAGAAACTATGCTATGCAAGATTGGTGTTTTTCACATAGCTAAAAAAACTATGACAGAAATAAATACGTTTTTCAATGCAAAATGGTCACAGTGTGCTGTAATGTACCTCAGTTTCTGTAAGCAAATGTAAAAACATTGAGTCATGCCAGGCCACCTGCAGCAAGAGAGAGGAAATCCAATTTTTCATCATTCCTAAAGCCCCAGCTATCTTCTCTTACTTTTAAAGCATCAGCTTTTAATAAACAAATGAGCAGTTCCCTATCAGCAGCTGAGCCAGTTTGTTCCTTTTATGGAACATGATGTGTTGTTTGTTTAATTCAGTCAGGGCTCTGGAAACATCTTTCCTGGAAAGTTGAAACATTAAAAATAAATTAAAAAAAGCACACAGTAGAGATAGAGGATTTATACGAGTTCCAAGTGATTTGTTTCCAAATGAACTACAATAAAGTCACAAAAAAAGTAAAAAAAGGAAGGAAAAAGTCAATTGAAAGAACAATATAGCCCACAGTGTGTAAGACTGTAAAGATAAAATGCTATCATGTCCATTAATATAATGAAAAATTGTAAAGGAAAGCTGTCAGAGTCATCTGAGAAAATACAGATATGCAGTGACTGCATTAACCCAAACACCCAAATCTTCAAAAGCACAGAAATCTGAGTTTCAGAAACACCCGAGAAATGTGTTGCGCACTGCCACCTTCAGAGCACTGCTGGGAACGCCAGAGGAACAAGGATATTTAAAATTGTTCTAGACGGTAATGCCTTGAGAAGGCTGCCCTAGAACAGAGGCTGGACAGAGTTCCAAAATAAAGCAGGGATTTATTCAAAGGATCTCCTCAATGGATGCAGCACCAGAGCCCAGCCAGGGCTGCACCCAAGACGAACCAAAATGGTCACAAAATGCACAACCGATCACGGTGTCTCTCATTTTTATAAGTTCTAGTCCATTAATTTATTTGATTTAATTGTGCAGTTACAGATTTAGGTTAATTAGTCCCATCCTTGCTGTTTTTCTCTCTTTATTCCACCCTTGTTTGTGTTCCTGGGCCTGCTGGAGCCGCCGCTTCCGGGTGCGGTCACGTGGGCAGCGCGTCATGTGACCGGCGGCGCTGCGGGCAGGAGGTGGGAGCGGGACGGGGCCCTGGGGTCACTGCGAGGGTATGGGGCCGTGCTGTGGGGCTGTGGGATCCAGGGGACCCCGGTGTGGGGGCGTGGGGTCACTGTGGGGCCGTGGGATCCTGCTGTGGGAATATGGGATCGAGGGGGCCCCGCTGTGGGGATGTGGGGTCACTGCCGGGCTGTGGGATCCAGGAGATCCCGCTCTGGGGATGTGGGACCCTGCTATGGGGCTCTGGGGTCACTGCCGGGGCTGTGGGATCCAGGGGACCCCGCTCTGGGGGTGTGGGGTCACTGTGGGGCCGTGGGATCCTGCTGTGGGAATATGGGATCGAGGGGGGCCCCACTGTGGGGATGTGGGGTCACTGCCGGGCTGTGGGATCCAGGAGATCCCGCTCTGGGGATGTGGGACCCTGCTATGGGGCTCTGGGGTCACTGCCGGGGATGTGGGACCGTTGCTGTGGAGATGTGGGGTCACTGTGGGGATGTGAGACCGTGCTGTGGAGATGTGGGGTCACTGTGGGGATGTGGGACCGTGCTGCGGAGATGTGGGGTCACTGTGGGGATGTGGGATCGATAGGACCCCGGTGTAGGGATGTGATGGATGGGATCGAGGGGGACCCCGCTGTGGGGAAGTGGGATCACTGCCATGGGATCGAGGGGATCGTGCTGTGGGGTCACTGCCGGGCTGTGGGATCCAAGGGACCCCGGTGTGGGGCCGCGGGAGCCCCGGGGATCGCTGGGAAAGCCGCGCGGGTTAGGGGGGTCTGGGCACAGGGGATTGGGAGCGGTCCGCAGGGACGAGCCCGGGGCGCCCCGCTCCCCTCGGTGCCGGACCCTGACGCGCCCGTGTCCCCTCCAGGCCATGGCCGCCCCCCGCCCTCCCCGGGTGGTGCCGGGCGAAGCCTCGGAGAGCGACTCGGAGCCGGAGCTGCTGGTGGAGACGGGCGGGGAGGCCCTCGGGGCCGGGCTGAAGGTGCCGGGCGAAGCCTCCGAGACGGACGAGGAGGAGGAGGAGCAGGAGCAGAGGCCGAAGACGCCGCCGGTGCTGGCGGAGGAGCCGGCGGCCGTGTGGGGGGGCGGCCCCTCGCTGCTGCAGCAGCGGCTGCGGGAGGGGACGGGGCGGCTGCGGGGCGCGGTGGGCAGCGCCCTCCGGCACAGCTACGGCAGCGCCGCCCGCAGCCTGGGCGGGCTCGGCGGAGCCCTGGGCCGGGCGCAGGTGACCGCAGCTGCGGCCGCGCACTGCCTGCGCCTGGCCCGCCGCGATCTGCGGGCTGTGGCTGACACCATCGACATCGTCACAGCGTGTCACCTCCTGCCCGACATCCGCGGGCAGCTCTGAGCGGCGCCGCCGGGGCACCGCCTTCAGCATCCTCAATGAGTGGCACCAGCGGCGGCACCGACACCTGGCAGATATCCACGGGCAGCTGCCAGCAGCGCTGCTGTCCTCGGCATCGCCAGTACCGCATCTGCTACGGCGGGGTCATCACCGACAGGATCATCAGTGCAGCATCCTGCCGAGGGTGGAGTTGTGAGTTGTGTTTGCAGCATCCCATGCTGACCCTGAAGACCTCCTCACCACGGTGGCATCATCACCAGTGCACTATGGTGACACCAAAGAGTGGCTTTGGCGCAGAGGGCACCAGCCTGGTGCCCCAGGACCTGCATGATCTGGTGACATCTTCACTGCTGGTCTCCTGGCCAGCTGCCACCATCCCTGAACTGCAGCCTGGTGCTGGCTCGTCACCGTTGTCCCCAAGTGCCACTGTTTTATGTGACATGGAACTGAATAAAGCCGTGGTGGTGTCAGAGCCATAGTGAGGAGCTTGGCCAGCACTGTGAGGACAGTAGTGTTGCAGGAGTGGGCAGAGAGTAGGGTGACACGGGTGCTGGTTTCACATTGCAGTGGCCTTTGATTCACTGGTAGCCCAGGGGACAAGATTGGTGGCCTGGGCTGTATCCCACATGTCCCCAAGCACTGGTACTGTCACCCTCTTGTGAAGTCCCTGGTGCCCTCAGCCCAAACACTGTGTCCCTCCCCATCCCAAGAAGGACATGCTCTGGGGCCAAACAAGGGTTTATTTGGGGGGACACTTGTACCAAAACTCCAGAGGACACAGGGAGAGGCTGTGTGTCCCTGGAGGGGTCACATGTGGGTGTTGAGGCTGTCCATGTACTCCTGCAGAGCCTGCAGCCGGGCATCAATCTCAGCCAGCTCAGCCGAGGCCTCCTTGGAGCGGTTCTCTGGGGAGGCAGTGCAGGAAAAAAGGATTAAAAATGTCTGGGTTGGGTTGTCTCTCAAATATCTAGGGGCTCAGATGGGGCCTCACCTTTACCAGGACGCTTGCCAGCAGTCCTGCACACTGGCAGCTTGTGGCTGGCAGCTGGGCGAGGCACCTGGGGGGGAGGTTGGGGTGACCATGGACCTCCTGGTCACCCTGCTTTGGGATGGAGGGGTGGGGGAACCCCAAAGGGGCAGCCACTCACCATACAGGGGCTGTTGCAGAGTGAGGTGCTCAGGGGTCTCCGTGTACGGGTCACTCTCCTGTCCCTGCCCAAGGAGGGAGGTTAAAGGGTGCTAGAAGGGATGCCCAAGCATCCTGCCCAACCCCAGCATTACCTGCAGGGCGTGGGTTCGGGGGCTTTGCTGACAGGGCTCCCTCCCTGGCGCCAGCTCCGGGAGCTTTCAGCTGCAGGGAGAAATGGGGATGGGGGGAAGTTGAGGAAGGAGCCCCAGCCTGCAGTGGGTGCACCCACTGTTCCCCTCCTGTTCCCCACTCACCAGATGAGCTGCGCCTGTGGCTCCTGGCCGGGCTGCTGCTGCCAGAAGCCACTCCACGCCGCTGGCTGCACCCAAGGGAGATGGTGGTAAGGGGGAACGTGGGGCTGAAGCAGGGAGGAGACCCCCCAAGAACCAGGGAGGGATGTGGGGAGCTGCAAACACCGCTTACTTTCTGAGCTCAGCCTCCTTCTGCCGGCGCTGCCGGGCCCTGACAAAGGCAGTGGGGTCGAAGCGTGGTGGGCGGGAGCCTGGCAGGGGGAGGCAGAGGAGGGGGTCAGGGTGAGGAGGGGGTGAGCTGTGTCCTGTCACCCACACTCCTGGGTGTGTCCCCAAGTGTCCCACACCTGCAGGTGACAGGGACTTTGGCAAGGGGTGGCCTCGGCTGCTCCTGTGGCTCTCCAGGGATGCTGAGCGTCGCTCCTGGGCGCGTGGGGCTGGGCTGGCAGATTTCTGGCGGCTGCCAAGAGGACCAGCACCATCAGGGGGGGACAGGGGGACACCCCACAGTCCTGAGGGTCATCTTGCAGAGTGCACCCCGGCCTCACCCCCTCCTGCAGGAGGCCAGTTCAGCTGTCAAGTTCTTCACCCGCAGCTGCAGCTTCTGCTCTGACGCCTTTGCCTGGGCCAGCTTCGAGGGGGACAAAAAAGGCTCAGTGTGCATCTGGCAGCCCCTGTCCCTCCCCAGAGCAGCTCCCACCCTCCCAGCCCACCTCTGCCGCCAGCTGCCGGTACTCGCGCTGGTGCCGGCTCTCTGCTGCCCGCTTCTCCTCCAGTGCCTGCCACAGCCTGGGGGGAATGCCAGGGGGTGGTCTGGGAGTTCCCTCCTCACCCTGAGAGACAGGAACCCCCAAACCCTTCCGGGTGCCCTGGCCCCACTCACGCATCCCGCAAGTGCTGGGTCTCCTCCAGGCGCCGCGCCCGGAGCTGCCCCAGCTGCTCCTGCAGCTCCCGCACCAGCGCCACGAGGTCCGGCCGGCCCGCGTAGGGCAGCGGCAGCGGGTAATGGATCCTGGAGGAGAGCACGAGGTGAGGCTGGAGTCACTTCCCCGTGACCCCTGCCTGGTGTCCCCTGTCACCTGTCGAACTCCACAGAGTAGACCAGGATGAGGTAGCGCTTGCTGTTGAGGGGTGAAGAGGTGGAAGGGGAAGGCCGGGTGACTGCCCCCACTTTCCGGCTATGCAGGGTCTCCAGGTCGGTGAAGGTGAGCAGCTCCAGGCTGACGGAGTCGCTGCTCTGCAGGAAGTTTGAAAAGCAGGAGGGCTCGGTGGGACACACACCCCACCCCAGGTACCCCCAAAACGCCGTGTAGGGGAGCAGCACGGCCACACCTGTGTCAGTGCCGACTCCAGCATGCTGCAGAAAATGCCAAACTGCTTGAAATTCCCCGTTTTGCGGGTCAGGTCCTCGATGACTGCGAGGAGCAGAGGATATTTGGTCAGTGGCATCCGTGGGAGATCCCCTCATCGCCCAGGCTCCCTCCAGCACTCACAGGCGGCATCGAACTCGCCCCTCCACAGGTCGCTGGTGCCGTGAGCCTCCACCTCCACCCGCAAGGTGCTGCGGGTCTGGGTCACCCGCACCGTGTGTGCCCCGGGCCGGAAAGCGCACTCGGCCTGCAGGTACCGCGGCTCCGCCATGGCGCCGGGGGCTCTGCGGGCACAGGGAACCCTTAGCACACCGGGGCACCCTTGGCATGCAGGGGCACCCCAGCAGCACACGGGGCACCCCAGCAGCACAGAGGGGAAAGGGGAGCCCGGCTGGAGGGCTCGGGATAGCTGAGCTGGGGTGGGGTCCGGGCTGGTGAGGGCCGGGCGGGAGCAGAATTACGGGGAACGGACAGGGTGAGAAGGGGAGCCCACAGCCCCACGAGCAGTGAGTAGAGCGGACCTCGGGGCTTTTGTTGACTTGGGCTCGGCTGGGGGCGGGCGCAGCGCGAAGGGGTGGAGAGAACACAGTGGAACAAAGGGAGAGCCGTGGGTTTGGACCTGCTGCCTGCGGGGATCCCAGGGCGTGGCGGGGCTGTTCGGGGGATACCGAGGGAGGGGAGCTGGGGGTGGCCGGGCCCGCGGTGCCGCTCAGCCCACAGGTACCGGGAGCAGCCGTGCCGCATCGGGGGAGCCTCACCGCCCGCCGCGATCCTCCGCGCCTGGCCGCGCCCCGCTCCGCCGCACCGCCACACCTCATTGGCTGGTCGCGCCACGCCCTGCCTCCTCATTGGCTGGTCGCACCACTCTCCGCCGCTCATTGGCTGTTGGCGCTGTCCGTCATCGCAATGCCGTTAGCCGCTCCGCCCTGTCCGCCAGCCTCCCGCTGCTATTGGTTGTCAGGCAAAGCCCGCCTCCTGCTTCCGCTGCACTATTGGTTATTGGAGCTGTCGCTCATTTTGGGGCAGAGGTGGAGCCACGCCTGCCTGTATAAGCCCCGCCCCTTCTCATGGTCCCTGAGGGACCTACCCCCCATTAATCATGGCCGCGGTCCGCTCTGACGGGAGATACGGAACGGGGCGGGTCACTGGGCCTGGGGCAGGAGGTCTGGGCTGGATATGGGGCAGCACAGAACCCCAGGTAGTGCAGGAAGGCACCGACAAGTTGTGGAGCAACTGCACCTCGAACCTGTTTTTATTAACCAGTGAGAAGCTGGGGGATGCCCCTAGAGGCCGCAGGACTCCACTAGAGGGCCCCAATGTTTGGGAGGATCGCCCCCCAAATTGCAGACTTTCCCCCTGAAATGGTTGGAAGGGGCAGCCCCAAGGCTCCAGATCTGCCCCAGAATGTTTCAGGAGGTTGGCCCCCATAAAATATTGGGGAGGAGAGCAAATACAGCACTCCTCAGCACACCCCAAAACTGCCCCTGGGACTTCCAGCAGCCTTTCTCAGGCAGAACATTGTCTGTGGGTCTGTCTGTGCAGTGGGTGACATTGAGGGCATTGTGAGCACCCCAGGTCAAAATTGGGGCCTTCAAAATGACCCTCTGGGCCCTCTAAATGAGTCTTTGAAAGTTTAAAAACATAAATCTTGGAATGTATAAATGTGGTTTTGTAGCATGAAAATGCCGGTTTGGACCTTAAATTGACTATTTGGTGATTTAAAATCACCAAAGCACCAGTGCTGTTTTCCTTACTTTTAAGGATTGCATTATGTAAATAAAGGTTTGAAAAGCTTGGGGCTGAATCTGAAGAGTAACCCTCTGGACCTGAAGCACAGGCAGAGGCAGGACGAGAGGCACAGGGCTCAAATCCAGACCCAGAGTGACTCGGGAGATGTTTTTTACTCTGGGGGTGACTGAGGCTCCTTGGGCAGGTTCTGAGCTCTCCACCTGGGCAGCACGAAGAGCTGGTGGTCACCCTGGGGCTTGCCTCGCACCCCAGCACACCCTGAAGGGCCTTGCAGGGACAGAGGAGTCTTAAACTCAGATTACTAAAGCTTTAGTTTTGGAGAAATCCAGCAAAGTTTGCCAGATTTTAGCTTGGCACTGCCCTGTCGGCAAGGGCGAGTGGCCGCAAACAGAGGCTATTTTCTGTGGGAAAAAGAAGTCATTTCTCCAGGGCCTGGACATCAGATTAAAGGTGAACATGAAGGCTCCACAGTGGTGGTCACAGATAAATAGGGGCAGGAGAGCAGCTCCTTTAAAAAGGCCTTTATTAAAGACAACTCTGGGTGGAGAACCCAAGGGATTGCACACACCGCCACTGCTCCCACAGGACGACACTGAGGAGGAGGATGAGTGCAACTTTATCTTTTGGGAGAGCTGGGGCTTCCATCCTCACAAAAGTCCTTAGGAAGACAATGTTGGCTTGTAGTTTAGAGGTATCCTCCAAGCTGAGTACTCTGAAGGTCTGGTGGCAGGACAGAATCCGGCTCTGGTCAAGGGTGGGCGATTTAGTGTGGTTTTGCTGGGTTAAAGTCATAGTTTATGTGCTGGTTTGTTGTTTTGAGAGGGTTCATACAGTTCCCACAGCCTCTCATTTAAATTCAGTCCGGGTGCAAGTCCTCCTGGGAGCAGGGGAGCAGGGAAAGTGGTTCCCGACGGGAATAGATACAAATCCGGGGTGAGACAGAAAGGGGTACAAATACAGAGTATGACAGGGAGAGCTACAAATCCAGGGTAAAACAGTAACACTTAACAGCGGCAACTAAAGGCAAGTCCTAGAACTCTAACATTCAATATTTAACAACAGACCGACACTTCAAATTAAGACCCTATCAACGTCATTAACATCAAGTAGCAATTACTACTGTGAAAAAGCGCTCTCATCTCCCGGGTTTCATTTCTCACAGCCGTGCCCCCCAGGCCAGCGTGTGCAGCCTCCGGGCAGCGTCGCTGAGCCGCCCGCGGTACTCGAGGCGGCGGTGCAGCCCCGGGGGCACGGCCGCCAGCCCCCGCAGCAGCCCCCAGCAGCCCGCAGCGATGGTGCCCGTGGAGTCGCTGTCGCCGCCGTGCAGCGCCGCCCTGGCACACAGCTCCTCCCAGCTGTCCCCCGCTGCCAGCAGCGCCTCCAGCGCCACCATGGGCGCGTCGTGGCCGCTGCGCCCCGGCCAGGCGTCCAGCGCCCAGCCCAGGTACTCCGTGTCCCGCTCGGCTGGGGACGGCAGCGATGGCACCCGCGGAGGGCCACCGCCTGCCAGGAGCCCGCGGGACTCCAGGTACCTGCAGAGACATGGGGACATCGAGCTCACCGGGGACACTGCTGTCACAGACAATGGGGTAAGCAGTGACGCTGGGGGTCACTGGGCTGTGGCTTTTCAGCAGCCCCTGTGACCCCAGATAGCTGTGGGGACACTGGGGACAACCAGGAAACCTGGGGGGTGGCGAGGCACTGGATACCAGTACCACCAAGAACACGAAATGCCCCAGGAACCGCAGGGACACAGAGGTCACTGCCCCCAAGGATGGCACCTTGGGACACTGGGTGCAGCAGGGACAGACTGGGCATCAGTCAGGGTCAGCAGTGGCACCAGTGACACCCCTGGAATGCCCTGCCAGGACCGTCAGAGAGCCTGGCTGGCACCAGTGGCATGAATGGATCCCTGAGCCCTTTTCAGTCTCCTCCCCAGCCCTCCCTGTGCTCCCGGTGTCCCCCCAGAACCCTCCCAGTGCCTGCTCACCGGTGCCACGCCTCTCCAAAGAATGGCCAGGCAGCAGCATTGTCCTCCACAGCCACCCCGGTGCCCTCCACGTAGTCCCGTGCCAGGGGCAGGACCCGCAGCAGCTCAGCCCCCCAGTGCTCTGGGGGTTCACCCCGAGCCCCCAGTGCCCCAAAGAGGGCCACGGTCAGTGCTCCAAGGTAGCCTGTGGGGACAGGAGTTTCAGGGGGGTTCTGCTGTCCCCTCCTGCCCTCCCCTGCCAGGCTGGCACTCACCAGTGGGGTGGTGGTGGGTCATGCGCCCGCTCTCGATGCTCACCCGGATCAGAGTTGGCAGCTCTGAGGCATGTGGGTACCTGCACTGGCATCAGACCAGTCCCCACACCCCTGCTCCTGTATCTCCAGGAATGTCCCCATTCCCATACCACCAACCTTTGTCCCTGCTGTGCCCATTCTCCCAGCCCCATCACTTCCACATCCCACTCTTACCTGCTCTGTGACCTGTGTCCCTTTTCCCTATTGCTGTCCCCATGTTCTCCGTCCCCAACCTCCCAGCTCCAGCACCACACGTCCCCAAGCCCTGGACCTTGTCCTCTCCAGCTCCACCAACCCCATCCATGTCACCCACCCCACTCCTCTCCCTCTGACATCCTCATGTCCCTCTTACCCTACTCCCATCCCTTCACATCCCCTTCCCTCCAGCTCTGACACCCCCATTTCCCCAGCCCCAAACATCCTCACTCCCCACTCCCCTAGTTCTGACACCCCCTTATCCCCATCCCGTGTCCCTCCCTGTGTTCACCCTTCCACTCATTCTGACACCCCCACATCCCTGTCCCCACCCCCCAGTTCTGACACCCACATCCCTGTCCCTGAGTGCCCCCAGTGTCCCCAGGTGTCCCTGGTGTCCCCGTGCCCACCTGAGGCCGATGGCCAGGCTGCGCATGGCAGCCCCACAGCCGGTGCCGCGGGGGTTGAAGGGGATGCGGAAGCCCTGGGGCTCCCCCGGCCGCAGCTGGGAGGTGCCTGGGGAGGGGGACACGGGGGTGTGAGGCTCCCTGAGCCCCCCTGCCCCTCCCTGGCTCCTTGGGCCCTGCTCACCTAGGATGCTGCTGGGTCCGGGCTTGCGTCCCTCCATGTCCCCCATGGCGGCCACGTAGCGGCGAGCCAGCTCCTGCAGGAGGGGCTCCCCCTCCAGGCCTGTGCAGGGTGGGAGTGAGGAACCCACCCAGGTTACCCAGGCTGGCAGGGAGAGGCCCCATGAACCACCTCCCCCCAAATATGAAAGAGGGGAATAAGATCCTCATTGCACCACCCCCAAAAATGTGGGGAAAGGGAACACTGCCCCACAGAACCTCCAAAACTGGAGGGGAAGCAGGATGAGTTTAGTGGGGAAATGGGGAATCTTCCTGAGCACTGCAGACTGAGTGAGAGAGGTTCCCAAAGTGGGAGGGGGAAACGTCCCCATCTCCAGCACCCAATATAGGAGGAAAGGGCACATAAATGAGGAAAACCACATAGACACACTCACAGTCCCCATGCCACCCCCACCTAGAGGAAACAAGGATACACATCCCCCCAAGTCCCCTGAAAACCCCTAAAAAGTGGGGGAAAGTGTAATAAAGATGCCCCAAAGGCCCCCACAGAACTGGACAATCCCAGCAATCCTCCAATTGAGCCAGGGATATCATGGGGATCTCCCTGACACATCCCAGGACACCCAGACGCCAACCACACAGCCCAAGGAACACAACAGAGACCCCCCACTCCTCAGGGGATATACAAGGACACCCCCTCCAGTGCCAGCCTGGGGCACAACGGGGACCCCAACCCCATGAACCCCTCCCTCTTGGTCATGGTGTCCCCCACCTGTGGCCAGCCCCTCAGCGGTGGCGAGGTGCAGCACGGTGTCATCGCTGACGGGCCACTCGGGGGGCTCCAGGCTGATGGCTGCCAGCCCCCCCAGCTCAGCCAGCTCGGCGTGGATCTGGGGGCCCGAGGTGCAGTACTCCCAGCGGGCCCCCCGATAGCCCAGGG